ATCTGCAATACAATACAAAAAGAGGGATAGAGAGATCACATTTACATAATGGATATTACCATACATTGTTAAAATTATTGTATTAACCCATTTATAGATTTAATTCATAAATTAAACTCCATCACAGGTAATATATAGGAAAAATATGTTATATATATATTGTTCAGTGGTATCCAAGGTTTTGGGCACTCACTAGAGGTCATTGACTGTATCTTCCTGCTAAATAAATGACTACTTTAAGGACTAAGAAAAATCCTTCAAGAAAACCTCTTTACCTTTTCTTCTTCCTGCTAGACAGACAATGGTTGTAAAGATAGGAGCTCAAGGAACTATCTTGGGTTATGAGACAAAAGTCATCCACAGAGACAGGTGCCCAGGTACGTAACACAGTGGAGATTGAACCATGCCTTCTTCCAGGCTTCACTGATATGACAGAAATTAGTAGCCATCTCATTTAAGCCACTGTCTCCTGTGCCCTCTGTCTTGTGCAGCCAATCTAATCTTCACTGACATAAAGGACTAATCACATGAGAATTTCTTCCCAACCTGCTTTGAGAATGTGGAAGTTTCTTTTTTTAAGCTGCAACTTCTTTAACCTTCCCTCCTTTGAGTCAGGCAGAGTTCTAACTCCCTCAATCAATAGAATAAGGTAGAACTAAACCTCTGTGGCTTGTGGGGCTTAGCATAAAGGACATAAAACTTTCCCTGCTGCTGTGTGGTCAACGTGCTTGGAGCCTTGATCTGCCAGGTGAGGCATCTGACTGATCCACTGCCATCATGCTGGCGAGGCCATGGGCTGGGCAGCAGGGCCTGCCAAGCCCCATCTTTAAGCTGCCCAGCCAGCGCAGGCATCAGACAGGAACCTGAAGAAGCCGTCTGCAACACAGCTCCACCCCAGCTATGCCTGCCACCCTGAGCTAGTATTCAGGTCACCTCAGCTATGGACTCAGGTGGCACACAACAGAGAAAAAGATCCCCTTTTCAAATTCCAGACCCACACCCACAGATGACGAAGCATAACAAGACTGTAGGTGTTTTATACTATGACATTTGGGGATGGTTGCTTTTACAGCAATAGGTGACTGGGACAGATAAATGATTTTAATCAACATGCTCTCAGGCAGGAAATATTTATTGACCATCTGCTATGTACTGAGGGCTATGTTGGAAGAGAAGCAGGGTCAGTCTCTAGGTCAAGCAGCAAAGACAGAGTTGATCTGCACCGAGCAGTTGCCACAGGGTGGTGCAGTGTAAACTGAACCCAACCTCAGGTTGTGCAGCAGAGGCTGAAAGTTTCAGAGGGGAAGGAAGGAGCAAAGAGGGGACAAACACGGACTTTCGAGAGACAGGAAATGAAAAATGACAGGAGGTTCATTTTGGTGAACCCATTAGGCTGGCGGACATCCCTTACCAGGCAGTTATCAAGGTTAAGACTCCATCCTCCCAGAGTTGGGGAGACTGAGGCCCTGGCTATCTGGCATTTGCATTTTAATGAGTGGTACTCAGGTCCTTGAGAAAGACCCACCTTTCTCAAGGTGGGTAGAGAGCTTGGAGATACATCTACATCCCCAAGAGACAGAGAAAGGATTTCCTGTTGTAAGCCTTTTTCAGTAAGTGAGCTTAAAAAGGAAGCCAGAGAGGCAGTGCTGGTGAGGATGCCACTGTCAGCTTCTTTGGCAGCCAGCGCTCTTCCAGATGATGCTTCTGGAGGAGTCCCTGGGGGCATGGCCTTGTGTGACCAGATACTGCTAGTGTTTAAGTCTTTCAACTCAAGAGAGGAGGTAGACCAAATGATTTGTGTTGCTAGGTTATAGTCGAGACTTGAGCAGGAAGAGGCCTTGGAAGAGCCTGGCTAGAGTTAAGTCAAGGAGAGAATCTTTGTCACAAGACTTTAAGTTTTCTTTTGTTTGTTTGAGACACTCACTAAGTTGCCTAAGCTAACCTCAAATTCACAGTTCTCCTGCTTCAGCCTCCCTACCACTGGCACTATAAATGTGCACCCCCACATCTGGCTCACAAGACATATTTCTGACATCATAGGGCTGAGGGAATGGGTAGTCCAATATATAAACAATAGCTTATTAGAAGAGCAGTAAGTATTTTGAAAAAAAATTACAAGATGCTAAAAGAGTTTACAACTGTAGCCTCTTGGGCCGAGGTGGCGGTGACACTGAGAAGTGATGCCACCAAGAAGGAATGAGAAAAACAAACTTCCCGTTCTGTTTCCAGAAGGCATGGTTCTGGCTGATACTGAAGGAAAACTGGTTACTGGGCAAGATCATTGGCTCTGGAGGATTCGGATTGATATATTTAGCTTTCCCCACAAATAAATGAGACAGTGATACAAGACATATAATAAAAGTGGAATATCAATAAAATGGTCCATTATTTTCAGCACTAAAATTTTATCAGAGAGCTGCAAAAAAAAAAAAAGACAGTATCAAAAAGGGGCGAGAACTCAAACAATTTGATTATTTAGGAATTCCTCTGTTTTATGGATCTGGCATAACTGAATTCAGGGGACAAAGTTACAGTTTTATGGTAATGGATAGATTAGGAATAGATTTACAGAAGATCTCTGACCAGAATGGGACTTTTAAAAAGTCAACTGTCTTTCACCTCAGTCTTTGAATGCTGGATGTACTAGAATATATACCTGAAAATGAATACGTTCATGGTGATATGAAAGCAGCAAATGTACTTTTGGGTTAGAAAAGTCCAGATCAGGTTTATCTTGCAGATTATGGACTTTCCTACAGATATTGTCCCAATGGGAACCACAAACAGTATCAGGAAAGTCCTACAAAAGGCCATAATGAGACAACAGAGTTTACTAGCTTGGATGCCTACAAGAGAGTAGCCATGTCCAGAAGAAGCGATGTTGAAATCGTTAGCCACTGCATGCTGCGGTGGTTGTGTGGGAAACTTCCTTGGGAAAAGAACCCGAAGGACCCTGGCTGTCCAGACTGCTAAGACAGAGTATAACTTCTCATGTATTGCATCATTGCTGTAACAAGTCTGAAGGGTGCCTTAAAGGGACCTAATATCCCAGATGAGATCACCATTCATCTACATGATGGAGCAAATTTATTTAACTTGAAATAAAATTTAAAACCAAAGAATAGACATAAAGTCCATTAACAATAACACCTATAAAATTAGACGTACTTGCATTACAGTGTTAAATACAAAGTGAAATGTCTTTCCTTTTTAAAGTGTTTTCTGGAACTTAGTTCTAGGTGGTAGTGTTTACAAGGAAGAGTATTTTCCACTTAGCATCATACAAATGTAGAGATGTAGTCAGAGTGTGGGGTGATTGATGGTACCGGTGCAAAGCAACAGTGTGGAGCGAGACAAGCAGGGCTTGCATTTTCAGGTACAAACAACATACCTCTTATTCCTGTCTTGGAGAGAGTATGCTTCATTTCCTTATGTAAGAAAAAAAAATTTATATGATCTCTTTATGTGAGTTAGTCTTTTACTAAACATTTTTAATAATCTACATTCAATTTTTACTCCTTAGATTCTATTAGCATGAAGAACTAGGTTAGACTTAGAAAAGACTCTGTTACTGTTTTTTTTGTTTTGTTTTTTTTTTTACTTCTCCCTGGTCAGGCCTAAGAAAAAGTCAGGTCCAGTGGCAACAGAGCTGCCAGGTTTTCATCTGCTCAGCAGCCATTATCCACAGATACCAAAAACATTAAAGGCCGGTTAAGGTTTAAGTAGGATGCCTCACAACAGAGAGTAGCAAAGAGGGTAGCATATTCATAAAAATTGGTCTTCCTGCTGTATAGTGTCAGTTCTTAAGAAAGACTGTCCTGCAGATTATATTTGTAAATACTGATATAGATAGATAGTTATAGATATAGATATAGATATAGATATAGATATATGAAATACATATGTCTATGAAACATATCTCTGCTTGGAATCTTGATCATCCTAGTTCCTTGCCCTGATCAGCACATTTGTGTAATGCTACATTAGAATTAATCAGTCATTCACTACGATTAATGGTCATCAAGGAACTGCCATCCTCCATACTGGGTGTCAGGTCACAGCCTTCACATCCAGTTTTCCAACTTAGTTTTACCTCAATTGAATAATGTGCTTTACTTAAAGGCTATCATTTTACTGGATGATTAAGACCAAGTTAAAGCAAGACCTATATACCTAAAAATGTAACTTTTGCTATCTGACAAGGTCAGTCAAATCCCCTCAGGATTTACCCTGGAACCATGTACAGCACCCTGTAGATCTTTTGTCAGTGTCAGCCATGTGGATGAGTCACAGCCTTTGCTTGACCAATTTGCTCTCTGTGAAAGCCTGAGAGAATCTTTTCTCTCTAGGTGACTCTCCTCACGCACACTCTACATCACTAATCACTTTCCTCTGTGGCCCCATAATCTCCTTGATCAGAAAATTTGGGACACCACCACTTAGTTCCAGGATGTCAGAGCAGAGGTTCTCTCATATTCTGAGCCCTCACTGACCTTGAAGGGCTAGGGCCAAAATATTGGCTATCTTTTTAGCCTATCTGTCTAATTTTTGGTCTGCAAACTTTAGTTGTCAAATATCCAGAAGAGAAGCTTAATGATATTATTACCCTATAGCAGAGGCAGTTAAGCTTAACATCACTATCTGTCTGAATATCAGAAAAGTATAATCATGAGGTATAAAAAGTAAAGCTATATTAATATGCTGAGCTGTAAAAGGCTCAAGTCAATAACTTCTCACAATTGCCAGTTGTGCTGAAAAGCCACTACTATTATGGACTATTGGACTATATTGGGTTATTTTGCTGAATTCAAGTACCTACAATCTTTGGACTGGCATCAAGTATGTCCAGTCAGAGAGTGGAACACCCATCTCTGACAAAACAAAAAAAAAAAAGGAAGGGGTTATGTTGGGAGCCACTGAAGCTAGGAAATTGATCAAATGTGTGTAGGTGGGACTGGGCCTCAGTGCCTAAAGCAAACAAGCTACCTCAGTCCTGAGATTAACATCCTGTCTGGTTAAGGTCAACTATTAGTCACTAGGCAACTTGTGTTACATGTTCCTAACTTTGCAAAAGTATAAATAAAGGATCAATTTGTTGTGAAAAGAAAAAAAGGAAAAAATATATATGTATACGCACAATAGTTTGGATAGATATATAGCTACTTTCTCTTAGTTCAATGAGAAAAAAGGTTTGCACTAATATTGTTTAGATGAGATATCATGTCTGCATCTTGTCCTTTGAATAACTACTATGAAGACAACAATATGCAATGTATTAAATATTGTAACTGTCCTACAAACCTGTTTTGAAACTGTTTCATTGCTATTTTATCTTTTTTCTCATTAAGATGAATAAAAAAATAAAGGCTAGCATTGTAATTCTGAAAAAAAAAAAAAAACTGTAGCCTCTTGATGAATTTAGGGGCTTAGGAAACTTCTCTGAGGAAGTAGTGTTCCTGAGGTCCCTGACGGCTGCAGTGAAACTGGTGGTTTGAAATCATATATTGGGTTGGTCTAGAACTCCCTCTGCTGGTGCCCAGTTCAGAGAAAAGAACTGACTTGTCTCCTGTGAAAAGACAGCACAGCCTATATTTTTCTTTTTAATCATGGAAGTAGATCCAAAGCTTTTTTCATTTATTCTCTAGGGACCACAAGCCAAAACGCTCAAAAAGCATAGATGTGGGCCAGTTCCCTCATTTAACAGAGTCTGAGATGCAGGGTGGGGAGGTGTTCCACAACCTGGTGCTCAGGTGAAGTTGGATCCAAGCTGAGGTTCTCTTTGCCGCAGAGGAACTCTCTCCCTGGCTCAGGAGGGGCACATGGCTTGGGGTGAGCCACGCAAAACAGCTGGCTTCCCAGACAACTGTGCTGCTGTCAGACTCCTAGGAGGGAGCTCTACCCCCCATCCCTCAGGCCCCACCTGCTTCCACCCAGGGACAACCTTCCAGGTTGGCACCGGAAGGTAGATGTGACAACAAAGGCTCGGAGCTGTGTCTTTTGGCTTCTGCCCAGTTATTCAACACATTTTTAAGATCTTCAGTCAGATTAGAAAAGAGAGAATTGCAAGTCATAATGCCTTAGCTAGGGCTACCAAACTGGAATGCTTCTCTACAGAGGCTCAATTGCAGAGAAAAGAGAGATGAGGTTAGACCTTACAAGACAAAGGTTAAAGCCCCAGGCAATAGATAAAACCTGTTGCTTGTTGAGCACCCACTGTGTGCTATAAAAACTGCAAGGCTTCACAGAGGGCAAATTGGTCAAGCAATGGCTGTGACTCATCCACATGGCTGACACTCACAAAGGATCTACAAACTGCGGTACAGGGTTTCAGGGTAAATCCTGAGGGTACTTGACTGACCTTATCAGATACAAAAGTTACATTTCTTGTTATACAGGTCTTGCTTTATCTTGGTCTTAACCATCCAGCGGAAAAGTATGAAAATGAAGTATAAAAAGTAAAACCATATTAATATGCTGATCTGTAAAAGGCTCAAGTCAACAACCTCTGACATTGCCAGTCTTACGGAAAACCCACTACTTTTATGGACTACTGGAGTATATTGGGATGTTTTGCTGAATTCATGCACCTACAGTATTTAAAGGACAATGAATGCCCTTCTCTGACAAAACTAACAAAAAAGTGGGATAGAAATGGATGACCATTTTCTATCTGTATACTCAAATAGTTAGGATAGATACACAGCTCCATTCTCTTAATTCAATGAAAAGAGAGGTTTGTTCTAATAGTGTTTGAGACAGGATATCAGGTCTGCATCTTATACAGTGAATAACCACTAAGAGAACATGCAATGTATTAATCATTGAATATGTGCTAGTAATTGGTTGTGAAACTGTCTCGTGGCTATTTGTTTCTCAATAAAATTATTTTTAAAAACCTGCAAGGCTTGATTTTTCTCATACTATCCCATTTCAGGGTAATGAAAACCTTAATTTTAAGCTATACAAATAAGGACACTTAGGCTCAGGAAAGTGAAGTATAAGACAGAGAGAGAGAAAAATCGAACAATAAAAGTGTGTTGTGTATGGAAAAAAAAACCCAGAGACCATTATGAAAGTAATTCCTAAATTTAACTGTTGTTTAATTCTATAAAGCTGCTTCTTCTTCTTTTTTTTTTTTTTTTTTTTTTCGGAACCAGGGATTGAACTCAGGCTGTTGTGCTTGCCAGGCAAGCACTTATTCTACTGAGCCATCTCCCCGGCCCTATAAACCTTCTAAAAGAAAAGACAAATTTATCAAAAGACAAATCAGGGTACTGTGAGAGCAGCTGCAGCAGTGCGGGTTGGCAGCGGGCGGTGAAGCGGCCGAGCGGAGCCAGAGTTGGCCGAGACTATAGCTGGAGGCAAAGCTGGGAAGAACAGTGGCAAGGCCAAGGCCAAGGCTGTGTCACGCTCACAGAGAGCTGGGCTGCAGTTTCCTGTGGGCCACATCCACAGACATCTGAAGACGCGCACTACCAGCCACGGACGAGTGGGTGCCACTGCTGCCGTCTACAGTGCTGCAGTCCTGGAGTACCTCACTGCCGAGGTGCTGCAGCTGGCAGGGAACGCATCGAAGGATCTCAGAGTCAAGCGTATCACTCCACGTCACTTGCAGCTCACCATCCGCGGAGATGAAGAGTTGGATTCTCTCATCAAGGCGACTATAGCTGGCGGTGGTGTGATTCCTCACATCCACAAATCTCTGATTGGAAAGAAGGGACAGCAGAAAACCGCTTAGGGTTGTCACCCTCCCTCCACTGCCCTGTCCTTGTACTGTCACCTGGACAGAAGACATCAGTGGGGACACATAACATTTTTAAAAGCAGTTAAAGGAAATGCATAGACAATGCTGTAGACATAAACAAACATTGGTCTGTTTCTAGACACCAAGATTGATAAAGTACTTTTCATGTGGTTACAGTTGTGTGGTGATTGGCTAGGTTTCTCCCATGTGTTTTATACAAAAATGGAGTTGATAAACCATTTTTTACAAAATAAAAAAAAGACAAATCAGAAAACAATATTTGCAAATGACAGTTACCCAATGTGTGGATCAATAAGGAAATATAAAAACACAGAGATAAAAATGGTCAAAGGTTTTCAATAGGCAGTTCTTCCAAAAAAAGATATAAAATGGTCTACAGGCATGAAAATATGCTCAACCACTCTACTTAAAATACACACAAATTAAGCTTGTTCTGAATTTTTTCATCTATCAGATTGGCAAAGATTACAGAGGTTATTAATTCTGGTGTCAGCAAAGATGTAGACAAATGCACCCACATTAACTGTTGGTAGGAATGCAAACAGATAGAACCTCTGGAAAGCGATCAAGCAACATTTGAAACGTTAATGTTAATAACCTTTTGGTTCTGCAAGTCTACATCTACGAATTTATCTAGCAAAAATTGATGCACAAGTGCTCAAAAGAGACGTACAAGGTCACTTAATACAGTGTTGTCTGTACAAACAAACAGCTGGAAACAACCCAGATGTCCACTAAGAGGAAACTATAAAATAAATTATTGCATATCCATACCATACCATAATATGCCACAGTACTATTGACAAGTATGAGCTACTTTTAGGCATTTATATACAAATATGCTTAAATGTATTCAGTTAAGAAAAGCAAAACAGAGCTGTATGGATAGTTTGATCCTATTTTGGTAAAATAATATGTTAATATATGCAAAGGGGAAAATATAAAGCAATATTCCCCCAAACCATTAACTATAGAGTATTTCTGATAAGTGTAACATTTTTTATTTTCTTTCAATTTATGCATTTTTTAACCAAATTTTTATCAATCAACTCCTATCTAGTAGGCAGTCCACTAGATTTTGAGAATATGCTGGTAAACAACACACAAAGTCTTTCATTTCAAGGAGCTTGCATTCTATATTTTTACAATATAAGAGTTTGCAACAAACATCCTTACCTTATTCAGAAGTTAGACATTTAAAAGTAAATGCTCTTTAAAGATCGTTTACTCGAAACCCTCTTGAATTCCTGCCTAATTCATTGCCCCAGTCTCCAGTCTCCTAGAACCCCAACTCTAGCCTTCCAATCCATTTCCTCTCTTTTCATACAATTAGCATGACTCCATCTGTCCTAGACCACAACCATTCTTTCTACCCAACCTGTGGCCAGCTCTCCCCTGATGCTCTGACCTCTGGCACACAAAACTGGGATACCTTTCTTTGAACTTATGATGAAAGTTCATCGACCTGTAATTATGTAGGATGCCCTGGGAGCCAGTGGTTGGTCAAGTTCCTACCCCTCAACACTGTTAGAGCTTGCACCTAAATGTCTCCTCGAAACTTCCTGGGGTGGTGGTGGGAGGGCTTTTTTAGAGGTGGCTGGAACTAGAGTGGATGATGCTGGAGTAATCCTCGGACAGGGGGCACTAGAATGAAGGATGTGAGTGCTACCTGCCCTAAGTAGCCTGGATAAGATACAAGGGATAGAAAGAGCTGTGGTCCTCCCATGTTACTTTGTAGATTTCTGCCCATCATGAACTATTTCTCCTCAGTAATGCCCCTCTGCCATGCCACCCTGCCTTAGACGCAGCCAACTATGAACTATAACCTGGCACACAAAAAGCAGTCCATTAATGGTAGTCAAATGACAGTTGTGGAGGGCCGGTGAGATGGCTCAGTGGTCTAAAGCACCTACTTAGAACAAGCTTAGCAAAGAAAGCCCAGGGACTGCGGTTCAATCCCCCAGCACCACATGCCAGCCAGCCCTGCCCCCTGGTGGGCTGAGCTGGCCACACGCACACACATAAATAAATAAAATTTTTTTAAAAAATGACGGTTGTGCTGGTGACACAGGTTCCCTGCTCAGGTTGTCCTTCAAGAGAACCTGCTGGAGAGCTTCCAATTGCTCTGCCTTCAAAATGTCCTCTAGCTTAAGGAGGTGAAGGGCCCCCCCAAGAAAAAGTGTATCTAGAAGGGACATTTTGCAGTAGATATTTGTTATCTCTTTTGGCTGCAGAACATATGAACAGCTTCTTACAATGGGGACTCCCCCCTCAGCCTAGCTCCCACTACTGATGTTGAAAATGACAGAAACTTACTTTCCGAACATCCCTTTCTGCTAGGTGCGGCATGTGACCTAGGCTAGGCCAATCAGACACTCCCACCTCAGGCTCTGAATATGAAGCCAGTAACACTGAAAAGGGCCTATGCTGACTCCATCTCCATACAGGGTACAGCTATGGCATAGTTTGGGGACCTGGGGCCTGGCTTGGGGTTTCCAAAATTTGGGTCCTCATGGGATCTGTTAACTATGGCAGAAGCTTATATTAAACCCTCTATTTAAATAATCTAGAGGGCTGATTTTTGCTGTTTCCAATCAACATGCTATATCAATGCTTACATGTATATGTGCATGTTTTTATATACATAAAATGTTTTTTGAAAGATAAATGTGAACATTGGTTTCCTATGTGGGAAAAGGACTGGGAGAGTGACAGAGCACTGTTGGGATTCTCTTCTCCTCTATCCTCTTCTTCCCTTCCCTCCTCTCCATGTTGAGGATCAGACCCAGGGCCTTCCTTACACATGCTAGGCAAGGGCTCTGTCACTAAACATTAAGCTACACACCCTGCTTTATGATACATTGGTACCTCAGTTCACAAACTTCATTTGATCTATGATTTTGGAAAAGATGCCAAACTGCAAACAAAAGCATTCATCACTTCTGCCACAGCAACCATCAAAGAAGAGTAGCCATGGTCCTCTGCTATCCCATGGCTGTGGGCCTCAACAAGGGTCACAAGGTGACTAAGAACATGAGCAAACCGAGGCACAGTGCCTCACAGATGTCTCACCAAACACACCAAGTTCATGTGGGACATGATCCGGGAGGTGTGCGGCTTTGCCCTCTATGAGCGGAGCGCCATGGAGCTGCTCAAGGTCTCCAAGGACAAGAGTGCCCTCAAGTTCATTAAAAAAGGGTGGGGACGCACATCCACACCAAAAGGAAGCATAAGGAGCTGAGCAACGTGCTGGCTGCCATGAGGAAGGCAGGACTGAGCTCCTCTGGAATAAAGCTTTTAAGAAAGTTCAAAAAAAAAAGAAAAAAAAAAAGCACAGATGAACCAGGCTACCACTGTACTTGTCATGACCAAAGAACTAGTTAGTAAAAATAAAAGATATTTGGATAAAAGAATAAAACAAAGGTACAATTGCTGGAAATGTTCAGGGAAACAAATATCTTCATCAGACCTTTTAAAGGAATTGCCCTCATCCTAAGAGTCATTAATGCAGCCAGATGTGGGAGTGTCCTGCCTCAAATACTGCATGCAATGGTTAGCATCAGCCCGGCAGCTCACCTACTCCAGTGCTTCCCATGGTTCACCATTGCTCAAAGAATAAACTCCGCAGTCTTTATCCTGGTACCAAAGCCCTTTGCAATCCGAGCCCTGGGGACTTTCAAGGCTTTTCTCCACTAGCACATTTTACCTAGAACACTTTTACTTTCCACACTGCCAGTTAGAACCTCAGAACATCCTTGTCTGCTCTACCTGTCAAAGCCTTGCCTCAGTCTTCCTTGGGCCTTCACCAACTTTTGCTCTATTATAATCCTACCTAGTTTGGACTTGGTCATGTAACAGTCAGGTATTGTCCATCTGTGTCTGGCCTTTTTCTAGGCTTTGGGGCCACGTAAGGTCTATGGAAACCAGTCTCCCATCCTATGGAGTGGTAGTGGTAGGCACAATATGAGCTATTTGGCGGCAGAGTGACTCTTGTTAGAACCTGCCTCCTTCCTTCCCCCTTCATGCCTCCTTCCTCCAAAGCTTTCTTAATTCCTTCAGGTTTCTATAAATCACACATTTTCAGGAACACCTCAGTTCACTTTGTCATAAAACAAAATCCTACCCTCTACCCCATTTACCTGGATTTACGATCTCTTGTTGTCTCCATAACACTCATTACATCTCAAGTTATTTGCTTGATTGTGTATTATCAGCCTTTTACTGTTAGCCCCAGGAAACTTCATCTTGTTCCAAGTCTCTCTAGCAGGTAGACAGACACAGCTGGCACTCACAGACACTCAATAAATAATTGTTGAGAATGAAAAGAAAACTGCAAACTCTTCCATAGCATAGTGGGGCACAGTGTCTTAGGCCTCTATCGCCGCATCTGTAAAATCGCATGATCTGATGATTTCTTTAGCTAGCAGACCTGGCCTGGGACCAAGCAAGTGGCTCTCTACCTTCAGCATGCAACATGGACAGCTAAAGGGCACGTTAAATCTCAGGTTGCATTTCAGACTTGGTAGGTCTTGGGTGTGGCCAGAAAAACCTGCATTTCTAACATGATGTCCCAGTTGGTGCATGTGAGGCACGCTTCACTTCGAGGACCACTGACAGAAGAGACAGGAGCTCCAGTAGATGAGAGCACCAGGTGCCTCGCAGGGCATGGTGGAGGGGCAGAGCACTAGTTACTTCTTTTTTTTGTCCGGAACCAGGGATTCAACTCAGGCCCTTGCATTTGCCAGGCAAGCGCTTATTCTACTGAGCCATCTCCCCGGTCCCCAAGTTGTTTAATTTAGTCAGTTATTTAGGAAGCACCAACTACGGACTTAGGAAGTGCCAGGAGCTGAGGTCCTTAGAGCGGCGGGTCTCAGGCCGGGCCTGTCTGGCAAAGACCTCGGACCCGGCCCGCCAATAGATCTGGCTCACGTAGTGCCATGCGGAAGTCTGGCCGGCCGCTCCGAACCCACAACCGGCAGGAAGTCATCCCAGCCACGGGACGGGGCCACGGGCAGGCGCCGAAAAGCCACAGGCCCAGCGGGCGGCCGAGAGACTGAAGCTGCCGCGAGCTTCCCGGAACCCGCCCTCCCCTTCCCTCCCACCCCGACTGCAGCGGAGGAGGCGCGGCCCCGGCCCCGGCGCGCTCCCGCACACAGAGGGCGCGGGCGCGGCGGGGGCGGAGCGGAGCGGAGCGGAGCCGGCGCGGCC